CAGACTCCACTCCTGATTCTTCAGTCGCCTCTCCCCAGGCAGCACAGGGGGATAGGGAATGGGGGCTAGGTTCTGTTCATAACACTTCATCTGTGCCTCCTCACACTGTTTCCCTGCTCCAGCATGGGTTCCCTCCCATGGCAGCCAGTCCTTCCTGAACTGCTCCAATGTGGGTCCTTCCCACAGGCTGCAGTTCTTCAAGAACTGCTCAAGCATGGGTCCTTTCCATGGGGTACGGTCCCTGAGGATGAACCTTTTCCAGTGCAGGACCCCTATGGTTTGCACTTCCTAATAGAAAACCTGCTCTGGTTGGGGTCTCCATGGGCCACAGCTTCCTTCAGGGTATCTCCACCTACTATGGTGTTGTGTTCTCCATAGGCTGCAGGTGGTTATTTGCTCCATCATGGTCTCCATGTGCTGCAGGGGAACAAGTCACATCACCATGGTCTCCTCCAGGGGCTGCAGGGGAATCTCTGCTCTGGCACCTGGAGCACCTCCTCCCCCTCCTTCTTTACTGACCTTGGTATCCACAGGGCTGTTTCTCACATATGTTCACTACTCTCTCCCAAATGCTGTGGATCAATTTTTACCCTTTCTTAAATATATTCTCACAGAGGCACTACCAGCTTTGCTGATGGGCTTAGCTTTGGCCAGCATATGTTCTGCCTGGTAACCAGCTAGAACCAGCTGTGTTCAGTGTAGGGGCAGCTGGTGTCTTCTCACAGAAGCCACTCCTGTAGTCACATAAACCCAATACATAGACTCAAATCTCTTTCAAGATGTGCTGCTGGAAAACTCAGGCTGCCTCAGAGCACAGACACCGTCTTCAATTATATGAACCAGAGGGCAGCTACACTGTGTGGATCTCAAAGAAGTGATGTAAATCAGGTCTGAGTCAGCAGCTTTTCAGCCTAGTCCTTTGCTAACTGGATAACAGACCTTGTTTTCTAAGGGAAAGGTAGAATTTAATTCTGCAGGACTTATCACAGAAAGCTAAGCAAAATCTGCTCAGAACATCCACTCTACTGATTGAGCATGCAGCTTTAGAGCTTCTCTCTCCACTGGGGTAATTTGCTCCCACCTATAACCATGTGTGACAGCATTCATGTGCATGGAGGCAGGGAGATCTCAAGGAAAAAGAAGGGCAGGAAATACCCCAAAAGTTAGTTCTGAGTCCCAATGCAAAGACAGATGCTGGCACAAGCAAGCAGTGTAGGCCAGGTATTGGGTATGTGTAGACACAAAAGGTAATTTGTGTTTTCTTATGTGCAGGTGAGATATCAAATAAGACAGACACTGAAGGTTTGCATGTGAGAAAACATTCCCCAAATTGATGGATGCTTGTTTACAGTTTCCTAGAGAACAGATGCCCTACATGCACAGCCTGTGAACACGCAGGTTTATAGTAAGCTATGTGAGTATACACAGAGTTGATAGTAAACTGCTATGTGGGATACATTCCTTTACCTTGCATGTAGGATCCTAAATGACATGGTCTCCCCTTCTTGATATTAAAGCTAGGAGATTTTTCCCGAAGAATGGAGCTCATATTTCCCACAAAGAATTACCATTGCTCACAGGATCCAGTTCTATTTCAGCCTTTCTGAAATTACAGGTAGAAATCTTTGTAGAAGAAAAGTGAGACAATGCCTTGGAAGTCTGCTCAAGTATTTTTGTAGGGACTGGGAAAAAAAAAAAAATTCACTCTTTTTCAGAAAATTGTTTTTATGGGTGAGGAGGGGTATTTTATTGGTACATATATATAATGATGTATTGGAACAGGTGAGGTTTGTGACTTACAGTTTCCTCAGCCAGATCAAATGTCTTTCTCACATACATACCAAGCCAATGAGCCCTGTTTTAGAAAAGACAGTAGATCTGGGTTTCTTTTCCAATGTGGAAAAAGACTGCATTTTTCTCTGGAACAACTCTCCCATATTCTCGAGTGAGTGTAGTTTGATGCTTTCTCTTTCTGATAACTTTCATTCTGTTTTCTTTCCTGGAATCTGGTTATGTTGCCAAGAGTGGGCAGCAACAAAGCATGCCTGGCCCTATATTAGGTCACATGGGAATTTAATTTAAGGGATGATTAGCACAGTCGCTCTTACTGTAATTACTGCTCAATGCACTTAACCTGCTGCCAGTTCATTCTCACTGCAAAAGCAAACCTTTGAATTGTTCTCTTTTGTGTTTTCTTTCAAACAAAAGAAATCAGCCCAGACTTCTGCTGAATCATTTGAAAATATGTTCTGTGCCATGGGAGCATGGTCAGAGTTAACACCACGGGCTGCTCTGGGGACACTGTGTAGAAGGTATAGGTCCCACACCTGCATTTCTGTTTAATAGTACAGTTTAAAATCTTCATCAGTACTGGTTAATATCTTCATCAATGACACAGACAATGGGATTGAAGTTACACTCAGCAAGTTTGCAGATCACACCAATCTGAGTGGTGTGCTTGACACATCTGAGGGATGGGATGCTGTTCAGAGGGAACTGGACAAGTTCAGAAGTGATCCCATGTGAAACTCATCAGATTCAACATAACCAAGTGCAATGTTCTGCATCCAGACTGGGGAAACCCCAGGATCAGTACAGGCTGGGGGATGAAGGGATTGAGAGGAGCCCTGTGGAGAGGCACTTCAGGGTATTGGTGAATGAAAAGCTGGACATGAGCCAGCAATGTGCACTTGCAGCCCAGAAAGCCAATTATATCCTGGGCTGCATCAAAAGAAGTGTGGCCAGAACGTCAAGGGAGGTGATTCTGCTGCTCTATTCCTCTCTGGTGAGACACCACCTGGAGTACTGTGTCCAGTTCTGGAGTCCTTGGCACAGGAAAGACATGGACCTGTTGGAGTGGGACCAGAGGGGGGCCACAAAAATCATCAGAGGAAAGGAACACCTCTCCTGTGAGGAAAGGTTGAGAGAGTTGGGACAGTTCAGCCTGGAGAAGGTAAGGTTCCAGGGAGACTTTATTACGGCCTTTCAATACTTAAAAGGGGCTTATAAGAAAGATGGGGATAAACTTTTTAGTAGGGCCTGTTGCAATACGACAAGGGTAATGTTTTTAAACTAAAAGAGAGTAGATTTAGACTAGTTATAAGGACGAAATTTTTTACAATGAGGGTGGTGAAAGACTGGAACAAGTTGCCCAGAGGGGTGGTAGATACCCCATCCCTGGAAACATTCAAGGTCAGGTTGGACCACCTCTGAGCAACCTAATCTAGTTGAAGATGTCCCTGCTCATTGCAGGGGGACTGGAATAGATGACCTTTAAATGTCCCTTCCAACCTAAACTATTCTATGATTCTATGACTTCCACAGCTTTACAGGGGGCTCAAAGTGTGTAACAAACACATGTACAGCTATGTTGTACCTTTATTTCTGTGTGTAAAACATTTTCATTGTTCATGCTGTCATCTTCTTACTGCAGGCTGTATTACCGATAATACACTGGTTTGCTCTTATACGGGCACCTTATTTTCTCTCAAATACACCATTCCTGTAGGATTCAGAGCCATCTCCTTCTTGACCAGGTCACCACATACCCTTAAAGACATGTATATTCCAATATTGATCTGATCCAGGCTGAACCTCTTTTAGAAACCAAAGAAATCTGGTTGGCTTTAATACAGATAATTATCTTTACCCTAAAAAAAAGAGATGCTGCGTTTTGGCCCCTGCCTTCAGAGGCAGTTGGCTCTTCTGCCCTTATTTTTCAGATCGCAACATTAAAACACAACATTCCCAGTGGACCTTCAGTTAATGAGGAAAATGTCCTACCCTGACAAAAATGGAAGTAGAGAGTAGAAGGCTCTGTGTGGGCACTGTCTTACTGTGGGACAAAAGTACTGGTGCTCTCTAGACCTCTGCTCTTCCCATGTCAAACATGGATACTGGCTCTTTACTTGATTACTGGAAAACACCTGAAGCTTTACTGGTTAAATGAAACTATCATTTAAGAGCAGCAGAAGAAGAAACCATTCTCAATCACACTGTGCAGAGCCAGACAAGGTTGTAACAGTGGAAAAGAATGCAGCAGTGGATGATTCCTGTAAGTATAGCCTGTGCTATACTTAAGACTTGAACAGACCAATGATGGCTTAACCTTGCATATAAAAACAGGAAAAGCTGTGGGTCAGACTGAGACCTAGTTGTGGGAGACCTTGACAGGCTTCTCAAGGCAGGAAAAGTTGAGAGAACAGCAAGCCTGCAGGGAAACTCTTCAGCCAGTGTCAGAGCTGGATTGCCTTACATCAGAAACCTCTCTGGCTGTTGAAGGAGAAACACCTGCAGTCCTGCCAGCAACCCTACCCATTTCTCCTTGGCTAGGAGCCTGCGCGGCAAGCCAGCATTTCAGGGGGAAGGAGATTAAAAGAGAGGAAGGGAAGCACAGGAAATGGGAGTGGTGGTGTTATGGAAGGCAGACACTGCTTTCTGATCCCTCCTGTCCTGTCTCCCCTGTGAGGTTTGCTCAGGCCTGCGCGAGCATCATCGTTAGCACAACTAACAGCCTCAGCTTCCAGTTCCACCACCCTGTTTACATGCAGGGAGCCGGGTGACCACTGCTCTTGCGTCTGACCCATTTCAGCTAGGCTGAGCGTTCACTAGGGAAGAGGGCCAAGACCTGTGCCGGCAGAGGACTTCTGAGCCAGGAGGATACCAGCGCGATCTTTAACCCGCCCGCAAAGGCCAAACCCAGACCAGAACCCCGCAAAGCTCCTCCTCTACTCCCTGACTCGGGGCCGCTCGACCGGGCCGGCCCGCCGAACCTGCAGAGGGCGCCCTCCCCCGCTGAACTCAACGCCCGCCTCCCTCCTCCCCGAGCCTGACGGAGGAGAGACACTATTGGTCCAGCCAGCCGTCGGCCCCGCCTTCTTCCCGGTCATGTGGCGCCGGGCGGCCGCACGCTCGGCCCCGCAGGGTGTGGCCCCGTGCTGCGGC